CAGACATTATTCCTAGATACAAAGGAACTTAGCTTTGAAAAAAGGCAACGTATTAGGTGCAAACCAACTAACCTGTGCAAACTTAGAAACTACCGATCAGGATCACTAGATGCTGATCCAATGAATGAGGTGAGAGGCGGGATTTTTTACGCTTAAACCCCCCACCTGCCGTCTTTTTTTTTTTGCGCTTAAGCCTCCTCACCCCATCCATTGGATCAGCATCTAGTGGTCCTCTTTGATAGTTTCCAAGTTTACACAGGTTGGTTGGTTTGCACATGATATGAAAAAAATCAAACCAACAATAAAGTTACATCTCTTTTTTTTCACTTTAGTAAGGTCCCAAGTGTGCAGCTGGGAAATATGATCATAAGAGGAAATCATAGTATATACATAACTGAGATTAATTCACCCATTCATGGATGAGTGATTGTAAGGCAGGGTTTATATTCAATTGCCTATCCATGAGTGGTACTGGTAGAAACATGACTAATTCATCGATGCAATTTAAAGTAGCTACTTAGGCTATCTCCAACAACAAAACCCAAAATACAAGACACATTCGTCATTTGGTTAGCGCTACAGGCAAAAGGTTCAATACATATTCAGCATCTTCTCCAACAATAAGACCCAAAAGAGAATCCTTTCTGCAAATGGGTTTCTAGGAGAGAGGATGTCCATATTTGGTTGTGCCTCTCAGGCAACCCAAAATAGGTCTCTCGTATAAGTACTCTGTTGCAGGCTGATTTTTGGTCTCTCGCTACCTATTTTGGGTTTGGATGAGACAGTCATATGCATGACTCTGATGCCCCCAAGAGTACTGTTTTATAGTATTTATATAATTGCAACATATAACTAATTGGTTCTTTTACTGTCTGGCCCAATTGTCAGTAACTACCGAAAATAAAATACATTAGTACAAAAAAGAAAAAAGTTGCCCTCAATTAGCATGGAACAAGGATGATGTGTCAAACTCAATGCAACCTTCTATGTGATCCATTTAAAAGCTTACTGAAAAAAAAAAAAACCTTGCTAGTTGTATTCCCAAACAAATCTAAGCAGTCCACTACATTAAGCTAGTTTTCCTTTTGCCTATATATAATCATATTTGTTTGTTACTGGTAACACCAAGGGAGGCAGTATAATAGGCTAAAAACTCATTGGTGCTGCCTCCCCCATCGAAGGTGGGAAGCCCCAATGCCAACAGAACTCTGAAACCCCAAGCATCAGAAGTTCAGAAATTGGTACAACTCACTGGACTCTAAATAGGCACGCATAGGAAAGGAATCGGCTTTCAAAATTATACATACTAAACCAAAGTGACCATATCCTGCAGGGTCCTACTCGTATTTTTATGAATTGTATCATCCTACCTGAACCTTGCTGATTTCACCTATGGTAGTAGCTTTGTAAGCCAATAGAGATGCCCTAATCACACACCCAAGTTTCTCAAATCAGTTGAGTCTTTAAGATATGTATATAGATCTAAATGTCGGTGTCGCGATCCCAGCCCCTCCTCTGAAACACAATATTTAGCTCATTTGCGACCAATCAGATCTGTAGCTATGCTCCACTGATGGAAATAGCTTTTGATCGCGGGCGTCTAAGCGCCGGGCCACCTATCGCGCGCGGGGTGGCGAGGTGAAAGCGTCGGGAGGTCTTTCACGCGGAGGCGAGGTTAATTCGCCGGATGAACGATTCTGTTTTGTAATTTTTAGTTGTAGATAGAGATTAACTCCTCGAAAACAAGACGTGTACTCTTTTTTTATGCAGGGAGTATACTTCTAGATGGTATTCCAGTAGACTTGTTTTCGAATAGAGATTTGCCGTGACTTTACTTGAACTCGTACTTAAAATAACATATTTTAATGTTGTTTTTTATTTATACCCTTATGTAAAATCAATGTTTATGTATTTCACATCTCAAAAGCACTAAATTTTCATATACTTTCAGTCTGTCGTTTGTTGATTTCAGTTAGGGCTTATCAATCAGCCAATAATATTTTCCTCTCACAACAAATCAGCACTGGCCGGGCTTATCAACCCAGAAACCAAACAACGAACATGCCGTTTATCTTACTTATACGCTGAAAATTCCTCGCCGGAGTCGGGAAAGGTTCAATGTTGCAGGTTCTTTCTCCGCCGCTACCCTCGTATAAGTTCACATACGCAGCGCGGGATTCTGGATTTCTGGTCGCCTTAGGCGGGGGCTTGATGCTGCACGGTGCCAGCGTAGCAATCCGTCCCCAGATATCCCGAATGGTGTAGATCTGCTTCATGTTCCCTGTGCTATACTCCCCTGATAGATTTTCTTTGGCATCATCCGTCCCCTAAATTCTGCAAATTTAAAACTCGTAAAGTTGTAAGCTTATTTTTTCTTCGTCACTGTAGATATCTTTTTTTTTCTAAAAAGAAAAATGTTACATGCTTCGGAGGAGGCGGACCTCCTGTCGCTAAATCTGCGTAGGAATCGGATATACTTGCACAGCCAAAACAGGCATTGCATCAATGGCTCTGCCTGTCCAAGGTTTCCACGAAGATTAACTAGTCTGCTATTTGTTGGTGTATTTAGGCCATGGACTTTGCCGCGAGTAACAAGACTAGAGATACGAGCAATCAAGATGGAAGGGTGTTGAAAACATACAAGAGGAGGGTGCGTCAGCATACAATTCCCATGATATCTGAAGAGCTTATCATTGAGATCCTTGCCCGATTACCTGTTCAAGATCTCATACGGTTCAAGTCAGTTTGCAAGGCCTGGCATGCCATTATCTCCGACCCATTCTTCGTCCGCATGCATCTGCAGCGATCAACTCACAAGCAAGAGCAGGGGCCGTCATTCCTGATCACTCCTCATACCCTGGACAAGGTGATTGACGGTGAGGCCTGGCCGACCACTTTCTCCAACAACATCTGCTTCTACCACTGGCAAGAGGGCCAGAAGGATGCGAGCCTGGTGCGATCCAAGGATTTCAACGGGGGGTTTGGATCGGTGTACCCTATGTCCCACTATGACGGGCTTGTGATGATCCCTACCGACACCAAGGTATACGTGCTAAACCCAGCCATAGGTGATGTCCTTGAGTTGCCTGATGGCCACAAGGATGTGGGGGCATTCCAAACTGTTGGTTTGGGCCTTGACCCACCCACTGAAAAGTATAAGGTTGTTCGCTCCTTTTACCGCTCTAAAGATATTTCAGAGCGAGCTTACGATGCAGGCATGGAAGTGTTTACTATTGGTGGTGATGATCTCGATATGTGCTGGAGGAGCACTGTTAATGATCCACCATACCCAATTCGGCCGCAGGTCGAACCCAGATGCCTGAAGGGGTCTATGTACTGGGAACTATATGAGGGACTTCTTGAAAGGCCAACTCAAGGTTTCCTTAAATTCAGCTTAGAAGATGAAACATTTAGTTTAATACACTATCCAAGTATGCAATCAGAAAAGGATACAGCTCACTTGATTGTGCTAGGCGGAGAATTGTGCCTAGCTCAATGCCTTGCGACAGCACAAATAGTGATTTGGAGGTCATCATCGTCTACCGACGGTCATCGTTGGGCTAAAATATATGCTATTAATTTGTCTCAGGCCTGGACGTTCCAACCTCTTTTGGGCAGGCATACTGATGGCATGCTTCTTCGGAGAGGGAATTACCTCTATCGATGTGATGAGTCTAGTCGATTTGCAAGGGAAGTGATCTGTGCGCATCAGGTGACTTACAATAACGCCATTGCAGGATCTTTTAGTTATGGGGCAGAGGATGTTTTCTATTACAACATAATTCCCTACGCGGAGAGTCTTGTTCGAGTGACAAAGGGGAAACTACCAGCTGCTGTCTGTTCCTGACGTATATGTAATAGGAGTGAACATTTACAAGAATGATTTTATTTATTACGATCCTCTGTTATGCTTGTGTTGGACAAGGGGGAGTTTAGTGTTTGCCCTTGGTATATAGAGTAATAAAATCTAGTCCTTTGTTCTAAATTATAAGTGGTTTTGGGTTTAGATACATATCTTTTGCTACTACTATGGCAAGGGCTTTTTTAGATACATATCGTTTTGGCTTTTTTAGAAATTGTGTCGGACAATGAGTATGTCCTAAATGATGTAGGCACATCATTGTGCGATAAGATGGAAGATGCCAAGTGATCATAGTGCCATAAGCTGGAAGAACAAGCCAAGTGATCGACCGAAGGCGACATCAGACAGGTACAAAGCCCCCAGATAAGATGAACGACAAGACTTCTGACAGGCTACGAAACGACCAGATAAGATGAACGACAATGGGCAACAAGCTATATATTATCTTTCAACTTCAACAATGTTTTCCCATACCTGTGTGCACCATAATCATTCTTGTTGCATTGCATATCGAACAAACAGCTAATTGGTAGATACACTCGCTCTCCTATATCTCAAGTTAGTTCGTACGAAGTTGCCGATTCTGGTCGGAGACCAGTGCACATGATAGTCGTTGCAGGATTCATGTCCATCCTCCACCGCCAACAAAGTATCTGTACATGTACCCTGTCGAGCAGCTTGTGGAAATAGCAAGCCAACAAAACGTTCCCGTACTTTGCACAGACGATCGTCCTAGGCAGGCCAAGATTTCAACCGTCCGCCAACACTCAGCCCACGAAAAACGATGCAATCAGCACACTGGCCTCTGAAAAACTATAACAAACTTATCATTGGCAACCAATACAGAACACTAGATGCTCTTTGTTACGACTACAACGAAAGGAAGGTGCACCGACAGTATCCAAAGTTATACATCTACAACCCAACAGAGCAAGCCTTCAAGGAAGCTTCAGATGGTACATATTCTTCAGCTACTAAATAAAATTGGCTTACACCTTGTCTTGCAAGTAAGCAGAGTAAAAGACACCCAAGGCACCAAGAGAAAGGGCTAGAAGAAGGCCAGATGGCACCAGTTTCTGGCTATTGTACAGCCTGATACCTGAAAGCGAGGGGTTGGATGTTTTGACTTATCTGAGTTTCATGGGACCTGAAGCACAAAAATGTGGAACATACCAAACACGCAGGCAAATAAAAAGGCAGATCCAAATCCAACAGCATCACCTGCTGCCATCGTCTCAGGCGACTGCATCAGATAATAGGCCTGCAAAAAAGAAATGTTAACCATATGATCCGGCTAAAATTAGCCATGAAATGTAGTGGGCATTTGGTTACAAACAGAAGAGAGTAGGGTTATTAGTTCTGAGATTCTCGATGACATAAATAAGCTCATGGTTTCAGTAATTTACATGAAACTGGAAACATGAACATGCATTGCTTTTTGAAGATAAAACTTTCTGAAACCAAAAGGTAAATTCAACAAGCTCGTTGATTTGCCAAGGCTACATATTTTTCATACATATCTCATTCATGATTTACATTTTTTCAATTTTTAATCCAAAACTCAAGTAGAAAGACTCCACCAAAAAGATAACTAGAATAAATGATGAAAAATGCCTACGAATCTGATTCAATGTCCAATTTGGTGTAGTAGTATTCAATGTCCAATTTGGTGCAGAATGACAAGTCCAATACTTCTTCGCGAATTCGATCACATAATTCTATAAGCATAAGTGTCGGGTTCATAAACCCGAGGTCCCTCATGGATCTGCTTCCCAGCAAAAGCTCGGCCCAGCAGATGACGTTGCGAACGACGCGCAACTCTTGGGCCAGCCCAAAAAACCTAACGATAGGCCAGAAGAACGATCCAGTCTCCGGTCGGAAGGCCTGCCCAAAGAAGAACGGCGCTCGCTTCCGACTCCGGCCCGCCTCTCTGACCGGAAGGCCTGGCCAAAGAGGAACAGTGCTCGCCTCTGACTCCGACTCGCTTCTCCGACCGGGAGTACATCGAACCTCTGCTTATAGCTCTTCTCCGGCCGAAAGGCCAGAGCCGACTGGGGAACGACCGAATTGGGACGCCAGCTCGGTCAAGACCCAGGGAACGAACAGAGCAAGTAAGGCAGGGCGCTCCAGTCAACTGCAATATTAAGGGCCGTACCCTGCACGCCTGTAGGACAGTATTGTCAGGCCGTGTCAGAAGGATGCACCGCAACCTTCCAGACATGTCAGAACATGAACAATGTTGTGGGCGCCGACATTTATCCTACAGTATGGTCGGCGCCGACATCTGCCATACCAGAAGAAGACAGTGGAACCAACCACTTGCATCCAAACACCAACAGTGTCAGGAGCCGACAAACCGCCTTGTACCCGACAGCGTGGGCAACAACACTAGGTAGCACACACATACACTCTTTCTCTCACACTCTCTCTTGTAAGGCCATCCCTTTTATCTATAAAAGGGGATGCGCTCTCTCTAAAAGACAGACGATTCAACCACGAGGATCATTTCAGGTCGATTCACTAACGACTTCAACCTACGATTCAAACGATTCCAACAGAGCACACGCTCGAATACTTAGCGCACGTAGGAGCTCCCGTCTCTCTCGGCCCTTCGGTCCAGAGTCCGATCGGACCTCTTGCACCCCCCCCCAATTTTACTCCCTCTCGTTTGTAACCCCACAGCAAACTTCGAGCACCTGGACTCAGGAATAAAGTCACCGACCGACTCAAACTGGACGAAGGGCACGTTGCCTGAACCAGTATAAAGCCTGTGTCATTGAGTGCTAGGCCACATCCGATCACAACGTACGGTAAAACTACAAATATTTACGTGTTGGTCACTTTCTGCACCGACAGTTGGCGTCGTCCGTGAGGAGGACACCGTACGTTCACGCTTTTGGTCATCGGATGACCCACCTTTCCGCCATCTTCGGCATGGCGGGCTCGAGCGATACGACTCGCTTCGGCTCGTTGGAGTTTCCCGCACTCCCACCTGTTGGGATGTGGGCTCCACCCATCTTCGAGCCGTCTCAGGCCTTCCTCTTCGGAAGCCTGGACTTCGTAGCCGACCAGCTCGGCGTGCTTCGCCTTCGCGAGAAGGCACTTGTTCCGGCGCCCGTCGAAGGGGCGTCCTCCGTCGGCTCCGGGACTCCCGGTGACCTCAACGACGAGGCGCCTGCGCTTCGCTCCGAGCCCACGCTGGGTTCAAACCCCACTGTAAGTAACGTACATACTGTTCTTTACTCGTTGTTTACTATTTTCCGCCGATTCTCCGGAGGGACCACGTTGTCCCTGCCGCGACCGTTGTGCAACCGATTCCCCTATGGCCTCACGCCCCCTGTGGACGCGTACGTATGGGGGCTCTGAAAGATGCTGGCGCCGCCCCCTCTCACATCCGAATTCGTGGGGATGGCGGACTACGCTCCCGCCTCTTTTCACGACCTCATTGATGATGATGTTCAGAGTGACGGTGAGAGCTCTAGTTTGGTTTTGGTTAATTGATGAAACCCTAAGTGCTAACCTAGTTTATCAAGATGATTATGAGATAGGTAGCACTACTCTAAGTGATGAAGCAATGACGAAGATCATGACAATGGTGATAGCATGGTGATGATCAAATGCTTGAACTTGGAAAAGAAGAAAGAGAAAAACAAAAGGCTCAAGGCAAAGGTATAAAATGTAGGAGCCATTTTGTTTTAGTGATCAAGACACTTAGTGAGTGTGATCACATTTAGGATAGATAGCCGTACTATTAAGAGGAGTGTAACTCGTATCGAAATGCGGTTATCAAAGTGCCACTAGATGCTCTAACTCATTGCATATGCATTTAGGATCTAGTGGAGTGCTAACACCCTTGAAAATATTTGTAAAAATATGCTAACCCTTGAAACTATTCGGCGCTTTTGGAAAAATGAAATGTCTATTTTCTATTGCGCCGGATGCAAAATTCTCGGTGGTTGGCACATTTGAGCAAGGGTGAAGAAGTTAGAGTTGAAATGGAGTTGGTCGAAATGATGCTGGCGTCGGTCTACTGACCGGACGCTGGGTCACTCAGCGACCGGACGCTGAAAGGTCAATGCGTCCGTCGTCGGTATCGAGCAACCTGATGGGAAGGGTTGAGCACCTGGACCGGACGACTGGTCTGCGTCCGGTCAAAGTGTGGACGGACGCGTCCGGTCGAAGAAATACGCCTCTCGGGAGCTTATTAGAAACGACCGGACGCTGGGGGCTTGGCGTCCGGTCGGATTTTTCTCGGAGCGTCCGGTCAAACTTCAGAGCCGTTGAAATCGACGAACAACGTTTGAAGTCGTGGTGACGCGTGGCGTCCATCGGGCGACCGGACGCCGAGGGCTGCGTCCGTTCGGTATGACCGAGCGTCCGGTCGAGCGTGTTTTGCCCAAAGTGAAAGGGTACAACGGCTCTATTTGATGGGGGCTCTATTTATAGCCCCATGGCGGCTCAAGGAAATGTCTTGCACATTTTCATTGACATAGCAACCTTGTGAGCTTAGCCAAAGTCCTCCCACTCATCTTCATCATTGATCCATCATCATTGTGAGATTGGGAGAGAATCCAAGTGCATTGCTTGAGTGATTGCATCTAGTGGCACTTAGTATTCGTGTGTTATTGTTCTTCTGATTTCGCTTGTTTCTCTTGGTGGTTGCCACCACCTAGACAGTTGGAGCGGTGGTGAAGGATCGGCACGAGTTGGTGATTGTTCGTGGCCGCCTTTCGGTGATTGTGAGGGGAGTTGTACCTTCCTGTGGAGTGCCGAAAGGTAACTCTAGTAAATTGCTCGTGTCATTGAGTTACCTCACTTGTGGGTCGATTCTTGCGGTGTCCTATCGTGTGGACGAGGTTTGTGAAACACCTCTTAGCCGCCGAACCACCAAGTGTTGGTCGACACAACGGAGACTAGCGTGTTGGCAAGCACGTGAACCTCGGGAGAAAAATCGGTTGTCTCTTGTCATTTGCATTCTCCCGATGATTGGCTATATATTCATCGTGAATTGGTTCACTCCACGACCCGACGGTATAATCGTCTCACTTACTCATTTACATTTCCGCAAACTAGATATAGCAAGCTCTTTAGTGTAATTAGAATTGAGAGCTTGCCTTGTGCTTTAAACATATCTAGTGGAGCTCTTTAGTGTAGCATTTGTGAGAGCTCTTAGTGAGTAGTGGTCAAGTAGATTGTGTGCCAATAGATCATTGCAACTAGAATTGTTGGATAGGTGGCTTGCAACCCTTGTAGAGTTAGAGCAAGTTTGCATTTCGCTATTTGTCTTACTAATCAAATTGCTCTAGTTGATTTGTAGTTTTTAAATAGGCTATTCACCCCCCCTCTAGCCATATTAGGACCTTTCAGACGGCTCCAGCATCGGCGACATCATGGCACCTAGCCACCCTCTGTCCCGCGAGTGCGCTATGGCGGACGCTCCAGGACAGCCGCCGGTGGTGGTGGAGTCACTTCAGACCCACACCCCTCTGGACCCTCGCGCGGATGCCCTTGCATGTGCCCAGAACCAGCCGCCGCCCGCGCCGGCGCGCTCAGCACACCACGATGCGCCCCCTGCGCGTAACCCGGCGAGCAGCGCCCGGGGTCGCGTCCGCTAGGTTCAACACAACATCATCGACGGAGGGAACGATCCCCCATAGTTCGCTCGGGCTGGTTAGAACATCGCCGCGGCGGCGATGCTTCTGCGCGGCCTTCCCGAGCCTGTCGACCCACAGGAGCAAGCGGTCCACTGGAACCTCCGGCGGTGAAGACCGCCGCCGTTCAACAGGCAGAGAGCTCGCGTCTTGACACCGACTCGCGGCCTCTCTCCCCACCGGGGGGCGGGGACGCACCAGACGCATCGCTGCATCCGCTCGCCGCTACAGCCGCCGGGTGTAGAACGGGAGGCCGCAGCCACGCCACGATCTGACCCGACTGCTCTCCACACCGGCCGCTTGTGCGTGAACGCCTCGGGCCGAACCGAGACGCTCGCAGCGTCATCAACAACCGGCGTTAGGCCCGGTATGACGATGACGTCCACCAGGCAGCGATGAGAACAGGCGGCACGGGCTCCGGCCAGACCATCGAGGGGACCGGCGAGGCACACCCCAGGCGTGGTCGCCGACCCGACGCCCGGAGTCCTAGCCCGAATGGCCCGGCCTTGAGACTCATGGCGGGCGGACTCTAGCTCACGCTCGAGCTCGGCCACCTGCCGCGACGTCGCGGTCTCCCGGGCATGCTCCTCCCGGAGGAAGCAAGACTTGC